TCGCAGAACCTCGGTTGCCAGACTGCTGCTTAAAGCCTCGGACTTAGAGGAAGAACGACCCATTAAGGAGAGCAGAGCGGCCCATGCCAGTGCCGAAGCACTCTGAGTCTGACAAAGGAACCAGAGTCTTCTTGGAGAAGTCAGGCTTGTAAGCCAGTAGACCGTTGCGGCGAAGACCAGACACGATCCAGTCGTTGGAGGCTTGTCGCTCAGACATCTGAGACTGAGCCTGCACAACAGCCTTCGCCATGTCCAGATGGCTCGCTCTCCAGAACTCCTTCTCGCCAGCAGCCAGCAGAGCGGTCTGACCAGAGTGCCTGCAAGCAGGACTAAATGCCAATTAATTAGTTTTAGTAGAGTCAAATGCAGAGATGAATGAAAGCCGACCTGAGATCGTCCATGGCAGACCTTGCCAGACTCTTGAAGGCTCTGGCAAAGTCGGTGTCAGTCAATTGCAGACTGGCAGTCAGTTTCGGTCCAATGACCGTCTGCAGAGACTGGCCATAGAACAGAGACTCGGCGGCAGAAGACGACCAGGCTGCAGCGAAGCAGTCGCGAACGTGCACAGAGGCTGGTGCCAGAGTGGCCAGAGCTTCCTGAGACCATGCGAAGATGATGCCATCAACGTTCGCAGAGGGTTGGGACATGACAGATATGTGGCGAAACAGACCGGGATCCTTGTCCCGTGCCTGTCGCCAGCCACGAAGCAGATTCCCTGCCGAAGACTTCTTCTGGCGGCAGATGAGCTTGCCAGCAAACTCAAAGCTCTCGTCTTTCAGAAATCGACCAGAGCTGTCGATGTTGTCCAGACGAGCGTGCGTGCCGTGCACGACCAGAAGTCCAGGCAGAACTCGCCCGCTGAGTGCAGACTCCCCGTCAGCACCAGGCTCTTTGCAGAGGCCGTACAGAGCCTGCCTGGCCTCGTAGGTGACACGGTACCTCAGAGAGTCCGCATCCACAAAGGCCCTCTTCTGCCTCTGTCCAGAGGCAGTGGCAGCTTTTGCAGACGGTTTGACGGCCTGCAGCAGAGGTTTGGCAGCAGGAAGAACGTCGCCAGAGTCTGAAATCTGGTCAGGAGAAGCCAGATGGTGCTTCCTCAGTCTCTCTCGCAGAACCTGCTGGGGCAGAGGCTGGTGCTCCCATTCAGCAAAGAGCTCACGCTCAGAACCAGACTTGATCCACAAAGGGATCTGGTCCGAGCAGACGACGACGAGATCAGAGATATTCTCTCTGAACTCCCCAGCCTTGCCAACCCGAGCAGAGAGGTCCTCCAGAGGAGCGAAGCAGGCCAGGTGCAGAGTGTGGTCCAGACTCTGGTACGTCAGCTTCGCAGTGACCTGTTCCTCCTGCTCTGAGAGCTTCGTCTTCAGATCCGGCAGCAGATTCTTGGCACCCACATCATGCACCAGCTGCCTGAGACGATTCTTGCCAGACTCCTTCGCAGCAGACTGCAGCTGCTTCTCGCCCTCAGAGATCTTTTGATCTAGACGTGCCCTCTCAAAAGAGTCTGCAGAGGCACTCTTCGCAGACTTGAGCCGAACCAACTCAGAGGTCATCAGAAACGTCCAGCGTGCCAGCAGGTGCCGCTTCTTCACAGAATGCCCGTGAGCACGGGCTTCCTCGAACCAGCTTCACAGCGACGTCGCGACGCCAGCGAACTCAGACTTTCGCCCAGCTCCACTCAGACGCCAGCCTCCGCTACGGCCAGGTCTT